GACGAACCATTTGTATCGTGTGACTTGCTATGCGACAAAGAATACGTCATCTCTTTGGACCCACCCTAAAAAACGTATGGGCCCCACTCAAATTTGATTTCAAAGTTAGCTCAAAATAAGCCTACAAAAAAAAAAAAAAAAACCATAATTTCCAACAAATTTATGTGGTGTTTATTTTAATATTTATTAATTAAAATCTTGGTATTTAATTTTTTGCTTATTCAATTTAAAAGGATAATTTAACATATGCCAAATAATAAATGATTTAGAGTAATATTTCAAAATCATCGAATAGCTCCCCTACTCAAGATATTGTCACATCATTCATTTTTATTTGAGCATTGCTAAGGATTTCCCAAAAAAATAAAATAAAATAAAATAAAAAATAATCAAATATTCTATATAATAATCATCTATATAAATATTGTGTAAAATATTTAACAATGCACTTAGACTCTTATAACATTTTTTTTTTTCTTGCCCAAGTGTTTTGCTTCTTCATTTGTTATGCAAAGCGGTTTGGGAACTTTGTGACATTGTTTATAATAAGGGTAAATTACAAATGCATCTTTTGAGATTTGCTTAAAATATGAATTGTTTCATGTAGGTTGGAAAATTATAAATACCTCGCTGTCAGAATTTTTTATTTAACAGAATTAATTGAAAAAGTGAAATTTCTAACTGTTCACCTATATAATAATAAAATTATCTGAATTATTAATTAAAGTAAAATTTTGATATCATTACAAATTGTTAATTGACTTGATAATTTATTAATAAAAGAGGTCAATTGTTGTGAAATTCGAAACATCTCAGAATCGCGGGGAGACAAATTGTATTTTAAACAAATATCAGGGAGTGTATTTGTAATTTACCCTATTAAAAAATGACTCTTTTATTTATTTATTTTTGATGTTACTAAAAAATGGTTTTGATTTGATCACCACATCACTAATGCTATGCATGGATCACCAAAACACGAGATTATCTTATCCGGAGCAAAAGAAAATTGTTGAGTGTGAATGTTATATAATTTAATATAGGGTCAATGATACCAGTAACTTTTATATTTTGGTCTCTATAATTTTAATTGATTTGATTTTGTCTCAATTTGGTTTAATTAATAATAACAATTAGCATTTTTTAAAAATGGAAAAATGCGTTTATGAGTAGAATATATCATGCTTTTAGGAAAAAAATTATAAACTTGTTTAACTCAGTGTTTTATTTTTTAGATTTTTCTACACAGGATAGGCCGAAATTTTTTTTAAAAAAAAATTAACATAATTTTAAAGAAAGATCACTAAAAAGTAGAAAATTTAGAAAAAAAAAAATATGAAAAGTAGGTTTCAAACACCCACTAATAACAATAATGATTAAGGCCTCTAAATTTAGACATCCTTATAATTTCTAAAATAATCTAAATCATTCGTATGAGAGAGATAAAAAAAAAACACACACGCATAAATGGTCCAAACCGTCCTTAAAATAAAAAAAAATGGTTCAGATTTTGGGAGTCTGTCTCATTTTTCTTGTAACTTGTAACTTTAAAATATATATATGCACCGAACAAACTCATTATCATATGGTTGCTTTAGTTCAGCCTTGTCTCTTACGAGGCTGTATTGTCTCGTTCGTAAAAATCAAATCAATCACATAGTGGAACTTTGAGGTCCACAAAAGAAGGAAAATGTTGGATGAAAATAAAAATAAAAAACGGTTCAATTTTGGTATAGCTTTGGAATAGTTGCACATTTGTTAAAATCACATTCACACTGCAAATTTGAAATTAATTGTGTGAGTAAATTTCTGATCACACTGTCAAAACAGTATTCAACTGGAGAGCACTGACAGAATAGGATAAGCCCGAACAACCTGCAACAGAAAGATAAGAATTCGGCGGTGGTTCGTCTACCGGGGGCACTCCGATAATTAAGTTAGTAATCAAATATCTGTCAAGGATAATCAACAGAGCTTAACTCACTGTTCTGAATATAAATTGCGTACCTTAGACCCATGGGGTGCCTCTCTTTTATAGTCAATACAAACCTAGTCCCAATAAAAGCCTTGTTTCAATGGACTTCAGCTTACTGCTAATCTTGGACTCTCTTATAGATTAAGATAAACTTCTTAAGAGCTTTATCCTTATCCAGGTTGGGGTCCTTCCTCATTCTAGGACTCTTGTCCCTTATCCGTTTATCCCAAACTTTGATATCTTCGGAGATAACCTCGGCCTAGCCAAGATAATCTCGGCGTCACAACCAAGACACGTAGCAACCCGGCTGACAGATCGGCGTCACCTTGGTCACGTGTTGGTATTCAGAAAATATATCCCCATAACTGCCCCCTAGGTTCTATTATCTCGGCATCCTAAGGTGATGGAACCTATATCGTCATATCATATAGCATGTTGGCCATCTCGCTGTATCATCCTTTTACCGAGGTCATAATACATCGGTTTCACACAACCAGGTCATGCAATCTTGTCTCATCAAGGTTTCAGAATTTTTAACCAAGCTTATTCGAGTTTATTTAGCCGAGATTTTCCTATCAGCCGATGTCATTGCTTCATTTAAACCAAGAACTCCAAGAGTTTTATCACGCGTATGAGCTGGCACGCAAAATAGATCATCCGTTTCTGTCACACATTTGTCCCCTATTGGACCGTACTCGATACGCTCCTGTAAGTCGTCTCGCGCCTACGTGCGCTGTCTGATCAATACGTCGTTCTAGGCTCATTGATGGTGTTTTGCCGCCATTCTTTGCGTTTTGATCAAAAATCAATTTCTCTCTCTCCGGTGAAGCTTTCGTTGTTCTGCCGCTTTTGCAACCGTCGTCTGACTTCGGCGATCCCCACACCGGCCTGAATTTTTCTGGTAAGCCACTGTTCCTCTTGTTTTCAGTTTCTCGTTGCTCTTCAAGAAGTTTTGCTTCATTATTTGTTGCCATTGTTGTTTTGCTCAAGTATTCAATTTATGAATCATGTACTCGAGCACGTTTACCTTACGATTTTTTCTGTCCAATTTGTGTCTTGAATATGCACACACTGTTCACAAATTTGCTCACTTTTGCCACTGTCCTTGGCCTCACGCCCTTGTGCACATTTTGTCACAGTTTTCTTGATAGTTCACCACTGTTCTTGATTCTGAAACACATTCTTGTTTTTCTGTTTTCTGTGACTTTTCCAAATTCGTGCTTTCAATCTTTGTTTCCATAGATCTAGGTTTGGAATTTGTTTGTAGAACCCACAAATTTTTAGGAAAAACTGAAACGATTCCCCCACAGATTCTGCGTATTTTTAGGCTTTAGCTGAGATCCCTAAAATCCTCCAAAACACTCCCTTCTGAAATCCATCTCCTCCAGTTAAGCCGACATCATGGGTATGTGGAAGCATAGGATAGACACCCCATCCAAGTTGGAGCACTTTAGGCGAGAGTTTGACATCCCGACCGACGTTCATCTGAGGTTGGCTGGGGAGGATGACTCCATCATGCACACGACTGATTCTATGCCCTTCCCCGTTGTAGCTTTTATTGAGTGTGGGCTTAGGCTCCCATTCGACATTCTTTTCCGTGAGATAATCCATTACTATAAGTTACCCAATGCAGCTCGCCATCAACTCCTACCGAGTCATAAATGGTATAATAGCCTTAGCCAAACAAGAAAATGCTAGGGTTACCTTAGCTGACATCCTATACTGCTACACTATGTGTGGCCTTAAAAACGAAAAATGCTATATTTACTACCTCAAGCCGAGGTCCACAGAGTACAAAATTATTGCCGATCTCCCAGACTCCAACAAGGGAGCTGGAGATGATTACTTCATTATCTCGGGGAACTGGGAGTTCGCTCCAGATAAGGACCTCCACCTCTACCCTCTTCCTCGAACTATTTCGTAGAGAGTAATGGTAAGAGCTCTGTGTTTATACTTACTTATTTTTTAATTTTTAAAGTCTTCAATACTTCATTTGTTCTAACGCCTGTTTTTCTTGCAACTCTTCCCCAACCAGAAAAAGGCTTCCGCAAGTCCTTTTTCCCTAGTAAGGGTTTGAAGAAGCTTTTGGATTTGCCAGTCCACAAGCGCAGAGCCCCTTTGGTCCTCAATTTCATCCCAACCTACAAATCAATACTCCCCGACGTCCCAAAGAGAAAGAAAAGCCAATCTCTTTCTTCTGCCACAACTCCACCAACAGCTTCTTTATCTCTGCCGGATCAGGGTTCAACCTCAGTTCCAGCAGAACAACCATCTACCTCGGCTCCACAGTTGATCCCGCCATCTCAACACCGTCGACGACGTCGAACAGTTTTTGCCGCTGTGATGGGTCGCCAGAAAGCAGTTGCTAAGGACCTCTTGGCCAACATCCCGACCACTATTAACACTGAACCAGCACCATCTCAGCCAAAGCCGAAACAAAAAAGGATAAAGAAGGCTCAACCAAAGGCAACGGTGACTCAGATTGATACTGAGGACACCTTGCCAATTTCCAAATTGGCTGAGAGTGATAAGGCCCTATCTGCCACCGAGAAGAGGCCTGCCGAGGCCCAACCATCTGAATCCACAAGATCAAAGAGGCCGAGGTCGTCTTCTGCAACAGCTTCGGGCTCTATGAAGTCTAACTCCCCCTGGGCCCTCCAAATCACTCTGGAGGACAGGCCAGTTAGAGCTGGCGATAGTGCCGACGACGTTAATGTCGGCGTTGCTCTTAGCACAGCTTTGCTGCTTCCTAGAGATCTCGACCGAAACGCCGAGATAAGCGAGTATGAAAACTTTACTCTGATGCTCTAGCGTTATGTTCAAGTAAGTCTTCGCACTTGGTATCTTTCTTTCTTTTTTATACTTAGAAAATTTTCTAATAACTTCTGCTCTGTCCATTTTTCTTCAGGCAATCCAGCACGCCCACTCCTTCTCAATACAATCTTTTGAGACAAGGAAGGCGTTGGCCAACAAGACTAGAGAGGTTATTAGTCTGCAGAAGACCAACAAAAACTTGTAATAAAAAATGAAGACTCTGGCAGACCAGGTCGAGGCTGCTGTCAAGGCCAAGGACGTGGCTGAGGAAAAGGCAGATGCTGCTGATGCTATAAATAAGGTTCTTGAGGCTCAGAAAAAAGAGACCGAGAAAAAGACATCCGAGGCCCAGAAAGAGCTGCAGGATGCCTTGCCCACAAAAGATGCTGAGCTCAAGGCCTCCGATCAGAAGGGATACAATGAGGGGGTGGCCGATGTCACGGCGGATTACGAGAAACAGGTGAAGCAAGCATGCAACAAGGGTTTCACCCTTGGTTGGATGACTTTGCTGAAAAGCTTGAAATCCCTGAGGACTCCCCCCTCAGGAACACCGACATCCTCGCCCTGCCATTCCCTCCAACTCCAAGCCAATCCGACGAGGATTCTGAGTCTGAGGAGGAAGCTTTGTTGAGGAAGTCAAAAGAAGCTGCTGGGGCCAAGTCCCTTACTCCAAATGAGCAAGTCCTGGACTTGACTCAAGATGAGGAGGGTGAGGAGGTTCTCAAGGATGCTACTCCTGAGAAGGCATCATCGGACGTGCCTCTCGCCGACAAGAGCCTCGATCAAACCCTTCAAGAAATAGATGTCGAGCTCGCGACTGAGAAGGCTGCCGAGATGTCCTCCCAGCAGTCTTCTGAACTTCAAACCCAACCATCACAAATTGCCGAAGAGTCTTAATTTTGATGTCTTTTTCCTTTGTATTTTGTACTTTTGTTTTTCTTCTTTTTGGAACAATTGTAAGCTTTGGCCGACATGTCATCTTTTGAATGTTAATACAACTTCCTTTCTTGAATGCTTGTATCTTTGTCTTCTCTTTACTGCTCTTGTATGATTCCATACTTAGAATATTTTGCATATCTTCAATGCACACTTTAACTGTGTAATCTTCTCGGGGTGAAATACTTCGGTTATACCCACCAACGGTTTACATCGTCAAGTACATAAGTACTCATTTTAATACAACGTTGGCCTTTACTTGTAAATTTTTCACAAATTTCAACAAGTGTTTGACATGATCTCGGTTTAACTTCAACTTGTAAATTTTTCACAAATTCTAACAAGTGTTAAACATAATCTCGGTTTCAACTTGTAAATTCTTCATAAATTTTAACAAGTGTTAAACATGATCTCAGTTTAACTTCAACTTGTAAATTTTTCATAAATTTCAACAAGTGTTAAACATCATCTCGGTTTAACTTCAACTTGTAAATTTTTTCACAAATTTTAACTAGTGTTAAACATGATCTCGGTTTAACTTCAACTTGTAAATTTTTTGCAAATTTCAACAAGTGTTTAAACATGATCTCGGTTTAACTTCAACTTGTAAATTTTTCACAAATTTCAACAAGTGTTAAACATGATCTCGGTTTAATTTCAACTTGTAAATTTTTCACAAATTTCAACAAGTGTTAAACATCATCTCGGTTTAACTTCAACTTGTAAATTTTTTCACAAATTTCAACTAGTGTTAAACATGATCTCGGTTTAACTTCAACTTGTAATTTTTTTGCAAATTTCAACAAGTGTTTAAACATGATCTTGGTTTAACTTCAACTTGTAAATTTTTCACAAATTTCAACAAGTGTTAAACATGATCTCGGTTTAACTTCAACTTGTAAATTTTTCACAAATTTCAACAAGTGTTAAACATGTTGAGGCTGCTGTCAAGGCCAAGGACGTGGCTGAGGAAAAGGCAGATACTGCTGATGCCATAAATAAGGTTCTTGAGGCTCAGAAAAAAAAGGCCGAGGAAAAGACAGCTGAGGCCCAGAAAAAGCTGCAGGATGCCTTGGCCACAAAAGATGCTGAGCTCAAGGCCTCCAATCAGAAGGGATACAATGAGGAAGTGGCCGATGTCACGGCGGATTACGAGAAACAAGTGAAGCAGGCATGCAACAAGGGTTTCACCCTTGGTTGGATGACTTTGCTGAAAAAGCTTGAAATCCCTGAGGACTCCCCCCTCAGGAACACTGACATCCTCGCCCTGCCATTCCCTCCAACTCCAAGCCAATCCGATGACAATTCTGAGTTTGAGGAGGAAGCTTTGGTGAGGAAGTCAAAGGAAGCTGCTGGGGCCAAGTCCCCTACTCCAAATGAGCAAGTCCTGGAATTGACTCAAGATAAGGAGGGTGAGGAGGTTCCCAAGGATGCTACTCCTGAGAAGGCATTATCGGACGTGCCTCTCGCCGACAAGAGCCTCGATCAAACCCTTCAAGAAATAGATGCCGAGCTCGCGACTGAGAAGGCTGCCGAGATGTCCTCCCAGCAGTCTTCTGAACTTCAAACCCAACCATCACAAATTGCCGAAGAGTCTTAATTTTGATGTCTTTTTCCTTTTGTATTTTGTACTTTTGTTTTTCTTCTTTTTGGAACAATTGTAAGCTTTGGCCGACATGTCATCTTTTGAATGTTAATACAACTTCCTTTCCTGAATGCTTGTATCTTTGTCTTCTTTTTACTGCTCTTGTATGATTCCATACTTAGAATATTTTGCATATCTTCAATGCACACGTTAACTGTGTAACCTTCTCGGGGTGAAATACTTCAGTTATACCCACCAACGGTTTACATCGTCAAGTACATAAGTACTCATTTTAATACAACCTTGGCCTTTACTTGTAAATATTTTTACAAATTTCAACAAGTGTTTGACATGATTTCAGTTTAACTTCAACTTGTAAATTTTTCATAAATTTCAACAAGTGTTAAACATGATCTCGGTTTTAACTTGTAAATTCTTCATAAATTTTAACAAGTGTTAAACATGATCTCAGTTTAACTTCAACTTGTAAATTTTTCACAAATTTCAACAAGTGTTAAATATCATCTCGGTTTAATTTCAACTTGTAAATTTTTTCACAAATTTCAACTAGTGTTAAACATGATCTCGATTTAACTTCAACTTGTAAATTTTTCACAAATTTCAACAAGTGTTTAAACATGATCTCGGTTTAACTTCAACTTGTAATTTTTTCACAAATTTCAACAAGTGTTAAACATGATCTCGGTCTAACTTCAACTTGTAAATTTTTCACAAATTTCAACAAGTGTTAGACTGATTTTAGCTTGTATATTCTACCTTGTCAGCAACCATTTTCCAACTTTCTGCCCCCTAATGTGAACTTAAGTTCCACTTGGGTTCTCATTATGCATGTATCAACTATTTTATCAGTCACAAGTGTGAAAAATCAAGCTTTATTTATTACTTCGGCTAATAACAAAAAAGAAGAAAATTTTAATGATAAAAAAACTTAAGATTGCAAGTATTCCACGGCCTTGGCAACTCTTTGCCCTCATTATCTTCAAGCCGATATGCCCCATTGCCCAATACCGAGATGATTCTATAGGGTCCCTTCCAATTCGGGCCAAGCTTGCCCTCTCTGGGATCCTTCTTGTTGCCGACAACCTTTCTTAAGACGAGGTCACCGATTTGAAACTCCCTTGCGTTGACCTTCTTATTATAGGCCCTGGTAAGCTGTTGCTGGTAAGCTGCCAGTTGAATTGCGGCTCTCTCCCTTCTTTCTTCTAGTAGATCCAGATCTCGAGCTAATAATACATCATTAGTCCCATTCTCTACTCCCTAACTTTTGATCCCTGGGATGCCGACTTCTAGACGGATAACTGCTTCTGTGCCATAAGCCATGGCAAATGGGGATTCCCCAATTGATCTTCTCGGCGTAGTCCGATATGCCCAGAGTACACTTGGCAGTATATCCACCCACTTTCCTTTTGCTGCTTGCAGCCTCTTCTTTATCCTATCCAAGATAACTTTGTTGGATGCTTCTGCTTGTCCATTGCTTTGGGGAAAGCTTGGGGTTGAAAAGTAATTCTTGATCTTGAACTTTGCACAGAAACTTTTGATCAGCTTACTGTCAAACTGTGTTTCATTGTCTACAATTAGTGCTCTTGGGATCCCAAACCTGGTGATAATGTTCTTCCATATGAAGTTCTTCACATCCACGTCTCGAATTTTGGCAAGGGGTTCAGCTTCTATCCACTTGGTGAAGTAATTTGTTACTACCAGCAGGTACTTCCTTTGCCCAGTTGCTTGGGGAAGTTTTCGAACGAGATCCATGCTCCATTGGGCAAACGGCCAAGGACTGGATACTGGGTTTAGGTCTGCTGCTGGTTGGTGTATCAGAGGTGCAAACCTTTGGCACTTTTCACACTTCTTGACATAGGCTTCTGCATCTTTCTGCATGTAGGGCCACCAATAACCCTGGATAATGGCCCTATAAGCAAGTGATCTGCCCCCAGCGTGGCTTCCACATATTCCTTCATGTATTTCGTACAAGAAGTCTTCAACTTATGAAGGATACACACCTCAAAAGGGGTCCAGTGAAGGATCTTCTGTAGAGATGTCCCTCTGCTATCAGACTGAATCTTGCCGATTTCAATATGATCTTGTGTGCCTCTTTGTGATCATCTGGCAGTTTTTCTTCTTTCAGGAATGCTATTATTGTGTCCATCCAGCTTAGTCCCATGTCCACACACATTTCTTCACGCTCTGTGGTCAGTGGTTCAATGCTCGGGCCCGACAAGTAGTCGACCATTATTGTCCTTGCCTTTCCAGGTTGTATTGCACTAGCCAGGTTGGCCAGGCATCGGCGTGACTGTGATCATCTCGGCTAACCTGCTGTAGTCGACAATTCTGAAACAAGGCCACCAACCTACCTACTTCCTTTGCGTATGCCGACATACGTTCATCTCGAGTTGCGGACTCGCCTGCTGTCTGATTGACTATAAGCTGAGAGTCACAAAAGACTATCACCTCATCTGCTTCTACTGCCACTGCCAGTTTTAGTCCTGCAATCAGTGCTTCATACTCTGCTTCATTGTTTGAGGCCTTGAACCCCAAACGAATGGACTGTTCTAGTATCTGCCCATTTGGGGATACCAGTACTACTCATGCTCCGCTCCTTGTCGGCTTGAACTTCCATCAACAAACAGTCGAAAGGAGTCGCCGATGTAAATGCTGCAAGGCCTGAGTTTTTCTTCCTTCCTTTGTTCTGTAGCCTTTGGCTGGGCTCCTCTTTGCTCACTTGGACATCGTTCACCTCGACTCAACGGAGCCTGATGTTCGATGGCTCTTAGGATGAATTCGGCCACGAAGTCGGCCAAGACCTGGCCTTTGATAGCTGTTCTAGGTCTGTGTTCTATGTCATACTGGCCCAAGGCCACTGCCCATCAGGCTATTCTGCTTGTTAGGTCTCCCTGTTGCAACAGGGATTTCAAAGGATATTCAGTTAGAACCATAATTTTGTAGGCTTGAAAGTAATGGTTCAGCTTCTTTGAAGCCATTACTAAGGCTAGCGTTAACATCTCCAAGGGTAAATACATGGTTTCTGCATCAGCCAGGGTTTTGCTTACATAGTAAACAACCCTTTGTTCCCCTTTTTCTTCTCGGATTACCACTGCGATTACCGCATGTTCCGAAACTACTAAGTACAGGAACAACTCCTCTCCAAGTTGTGGATTTGAGAGAACTGGAGCCGTGGTCAAATACTTCTTCAAGTCGGCTAGGGCGACTTCGCATTCTTTTGTCCATAATAAGTCTGTGGCCTTCTTCACTAAGTTGAAGAAGGGTTTGCACTTGTCAGAACTTCTGCTTATGAACCTATTCAGGGCTGCAGCCCTTCCAGTCAGCATCTGCACCTGTTTTGCCGACGTCGGGCTCTTCAACTCTAGGATGGCCTTGATCTGATCTGGGCTGGCCTCAATGTCCCTTCTGGTCACCAGGTATCCCAAGAACTTACCAGATCTAACTCCAAAAGCACACTTGCATGCATTGAGTCGAAGTTTATATGTTTTAAGGATATCAAAGACTGCTTTTAGGTCAGACAGATGACCCTCAGGTTCCTTGGTCTTCACGACCATATCATCGATGTAAACTTCCACTGTTTGGCCAATTAGGTGTTTGAACATTTTCGTTACCAATCTCTGGTAAGTTGCTCCTATATTTTTCAACCCAAAAGGCATCACTCCGTAGCAATACAGCCCTTTGGGGTGATAAATGTAGTCTTCTCCTCATCTGAGGGGTACATGGCTATCTGATGGTACCTCCTGTAGGCATCTGGGAAGCTCACCTTTCCATGCCTTGAAGTGGCATCCACCAGTTGGTCTATCTTGGGTAATGAGAAACTATCTTTGGGACAGGCCTTGTTCAGGCTGGTAAAGTCCACGCAGACTCTCCATTTACCATTCTTTTTCTTCACTACCATTGTATTCGATAGCCATGTCAAGTAATTTACTTCTCGAATGGCTCTGGCCTCCAAAAGTCTGTCTACTTCCTCTTCCACTGCCTCAACATGCAGCAACGTCGATCTTCTTGCCCGTTGGATCACGGGTTTGGCCGACCTGTCCACATTTAGTTTATGGCAAGTGACTTCGGGGTTAATGCCTGGTATTTCATAAGGCGTCCAGGCAAACACTTCAATGTTTGCTCTCAAGAACGCCTCCAGTTCTTTTTCCTCTTCTTCGGTTAAGCCCGAGCCGAGAAGGAAGAAACGTTCCCATGCTCCAAGTGCTTCTTCACTCTTCTCGGCTGGCTCCTTGCCGACGTCTTCTAGGACCTCCACGTCCTTGACTTCGATCTCTGCCCTCTCTGGTTCTCGTATGCTGCAGGTGGATTTCATTGTTGCCATGGAGCAATTCTTTGCCTGCAGTTGATCTCCTCTGACCTCCTCTATCCCATGCTCTGTTAGGAACCGCAATAGTTGATGCAATGTCAAGGGAACAACCCTCATTGTATGCAACCATGGTCTTCCCAGGATAATATTGTAAGGGGAGGGTGTGTCGATTATGGTGAATTCTGTCTTCACCCTCTTGGTGCCAGCCTGCACCTCTAGGTTTTTTGCTCCCAGTGGCCACGTTGGCGTTCCATTGAACCCAACCATTGGGCCATTAGATTGTTCCATATCGTCTGGGTGAAGGCCAAGCTCCTTGTAACATCTGACATACATGATGTCACAAGAGCTGCCTTGGTCAATTAGGATGCGCTTTATTTGGCACTCCCCAACCTAGAGGGATACTACCAAGGCATCGTTGTGTGGATGTTGTACCATCTCCAGGTCGGCTTCAGTAAAGGATACTACTGGTCCCTGGCACTCCTCAGCCCGAGGTTTTTTCTTCCGGACCTGGTACACATGTTGTAAATGCTTTACCTTCTGTGTCTCCTCCCGTATTTCGTTTTCGTTGACCTTCAAGTGAATTACATTAACTAGCCGAAGTCCGCCTGCCTGCGGCTACTGTGCTGGGAGAGGTGGAGCTGCTGGTGCCTGAGGGAGTCTTGCCTGCTCTTCTCTTGTCCTGGCCTCATCTACAAGGTCCCTCAAATGGCCCTGCCTTACCAGGTCTTCCAGGTGTGACTTTAGAGCTCTGCAATCCTGAGTGAAATGCCCATCTTCGTTATGGTAAGCACAATGCGTCCCAAGGCTTATTCCTATAAACTCTGCTAGAACCCTTGCCGGTGCTCTGAAATAGGGTTTGGTTCGGATTTTATCCAGGACTTTGTGAATTGGGATTCGGAACACAGTCGTGACTGCCTGTGCAGTTCTCAGTCCTATCTCTTGTTTGTTGGATCCATTGTTACCTTGGCCTCGCTTCAGCGAGCCGTTTGTTTTCTCCTGCTTTGTCGCCTTAATCCATGGCTTGTCTTCCTCGGCTCTGGTGTATTTTTCAATTCTGGCCATGAGCTCCTCCATGCTTTTTGGCAATGTCTTTGCCAATGACTTTCGTAGTGCGCAATCATCTTTCAGGCCGTTCTTGAAAGACACGACCGCCACCTCTTGGTTGCATTTCGCTATTCGGTTGAACACCTCATAATATCTTTTTGCGTAGGCCCTAAGGCCTTCATCTTCACTGATTCTCAGAGCCATCAGGGCGTCCACCCTTAACGATTGTAGTTTGTTTGTCACAAACCTAGCCACGAACATCTCAGCCAGGCTTTCCCAGGTTCCCTTCAGCAATTTGTGAAACCAGTTCGATGCAATCTCCCCGAAAGATGAGGGGAACACCTTGTAGAGCAACGGCTCGTTCCCAGTGTATAGTGCCATCGAGTTCAGGTATAATCCGAAGTGAAAGTTAGGGTCCGACTTCCATCGTATATCTGGAACCTCGGCATACTGAATCATTTTTGTGCCTCAAATTTGTCCAACTCAACCGAGAATGGTGTTCTCGGCTTAACAGGGGAAGTTACCTTGGCATTTTGTTGCTTTCTCTTGAGGTAATCTCTCAAGTCCTCCTTGGTCCGTCCAGAAACTCAGTTATCTCCTGATTTCAATCTTTTAGGTGCACTGCTCTCAGCTTCGTTGTGAGCTCTTTTCGACCTTTCTCCATTGGTCACATTGAAGCACAACTCCTGCCTTTGAACATGCCGATGTTCTCTGGGGTCTGCCTCATTGGTGCAATGTATCCTTCAAGATTCTTCTCTCCTCGACTCTCCTCGCCCGACCTCCCTTGACGGTCGGTGAGAGTGTTTTTCGCTTCTGGCGTGCTGGGGGGCTATAGGGATTGTTTTTTGCCTTCCCTTCCGGGCATTGGCCGCTGGAATCGGCGTGTCCTGCAGTGGGAATGGTGGCTGCATGACGTTATTTTGCATCATGAAATTGACCATTGTTTGCAGGTCCGCCAATTTGTTCACCATAGTCTTTACCTCATCGTCCCTCTGCAGGCATCTTTCTTTCCACACCTGGAGCTCGTCCTCATTGTAGTACCCGCTTTGGTCCGTTTTCTTTGGTACGTCGCCTTCCTGGCCGAAGTCCTTTCCTCCGCGATTCTGGTCACGAGTTTCTTCGTTGCAATTGTCTTCTTTGACGTCAAGATCGACAGGTCTCCTACTCCCAGTAGGAGTGTTATCTCCAATCTTCTCTTTATGTCCGTCGTTGGCCATCTATTATTCTT